CGTCGAAACTCGATCCACGCCAACGACAAATCACGCAAGACGAGGATAATCGATCCTCCGAGCGGGGCTCGAAACGATAATACGACGCCAAAGATGCGGTTAGCCGTGGAAAAATCCGTCGATTAAACGATCACCTGACGGTAGTATCGATGGCAAGGTGACAATGCAAGGACAATTCGAACGAAAGAAAAACGAATCGCTTAGCGGTCGAAAGTTGGCGAGTTTCCGCAAACTATGGGACGAATTATAAACGAAAGCAACGACCGTCTAAAGGATAGCACGAATTCCTCAAACCGAGAATTGTTTCATTTTACGTTCCGCAGCCGACACCACTTGTTAAATTCATTTCGTTTTTTTCTCGCCGCCTGGCTGCAGGCGGAAGTTAAATTACGCGCAATAAAGGTAAGAATTTATGGAACTACTTAATGAATTACCGTTTGAAATATTTCTCTTACTCGTGGCGGTTCAACGGGCGAAAGAAGCCAATATTTAAAGCGTCGTTGGATGTTCGTGGGAATTAAACAGCTCGAGCCGTTCTTGTTAAACGAATTAAGTTGTTTCGCCCGGTATTAAGCGGACGAAATTTTCGCTGAACGTCGGGGGATTTAAAACAACAAAATTCGTTGAATAAATTGTAGCAAAGTTAAGTTGCAAAGTTAATTTACAAGTGTAATGAAAGTACATCGGCGTAGAGCTAATTTCGTATTCTAAATGATGTATGGATCACTGACCGTCGTCAACGATTAGTCTGTTACGAGTCACCTACTGTTACACGTCTGTTTCTTTGCAGTTTATTAATACGTTATGTATAGCTGTTAGCATATCGTTACGATCTTTCTTAGTATCTAAGTTTCTCTAAAATGTGGGTTCACAAAGGGGTGTGTTTTTTAAAGTGAAATTGCTTGAAGTTCCTGACAAAGAAGTGATAGATTTTACAGAAACATACTCCAAATTGGAAAGTGTCTCGACGCCGCGAACTACCCCCGAATATCTTTCTTTCCCCTTTCGAGAGAATTTGCATCAACGATGGAAGATGGTTGGCGAGGGGACACTGAGCGAGCCGCGTGGTTCTCTGCTTAAGGGCCAGTCGATGGGAACACGATCGATCGTTTGCTTCGAAATAAAGTACCGATACAAGCTCGAAATAGCCCACTCTGTCCTATATTTAAAAATATACGCTGGAGAAAAAACTCTGGACATCCAGGGAGGGATGGATGGATCCATGAACGTCCAAGAGCTTGAAATATTGCAAAGAAATTACATTACGTTTGCTTATATGTACTACCGAAAAAAAACCAGCTTCTATGAAACGATCAATAATTTGTTATCTAAAACGACCACTGGTCGGCTAGAGTTGGAATAAAAATAAATTGTTTGCACATTTCCAGAGATCAAACTTACAGCATTTATAATTAAGGGAAAAGTTATTTTTTAATTCGCCTGACGAAGGCACAATATTATCTTCCCAGGGCTCCGGATGTGGGTTAATCCGCTACTGATCGCGAGGACCGAGGAGGGAGGCAAAAAATATTAGCGAGACTCGAGGAATCAACGTCGACACGAGTGGGTACCAGATGACGTTGGCTCGCGAGAACGTCCACTTCCGTTCGAGCTTCATTGGCCGTTCCTCGGGAAAATAATATTAAAACGCGAAAGGGTAGCCAGGGGATGGCGAGGGCTGCGCGCCCGTCGCTCTGAGGTGCTTGACCTAAAAAGCGACTCTTTTTTTTCGCAATAGGCCGACAGAACGTGACCGAACGGGATATTTTTCTGTTTTTCCATTTTCCTTCCAACCCCCTTTTTCTTTTTTTTGTCATTTATTTATCCCCGCGGAATTGGCAGCGGTAATACCAGCGGATTAACGTCGTCGTATAATACCCTGTGAGCTCATGACGGTTATAATCTCCTTTGAATTTTTGCACGACATAGAGAAAAGTTTCCTTTTTTTTTTTTATTTTTACGTCGCGAACTGTTCGAAAAGCACCGGGGGCACGGAAGAGAATTTTGAACGGGCGTTGGAAATTAACGGATGGACGGGATTTTTCGGTGAATTCGTCGTATCCTGCAGTGAGATCGATTCTACTTGTTTAACTTTCAACGAGGATTCTTTGTGCACGCATCGGAGTAAATCGACTTTGTCGCGCTCAAGAGCCTACTGATTTTTTCGTTCCTGGACTTTATTCGAAACAAATTTGATCGTAAAACGTGTTTTGTTTTATACATACAAAATAGAAAGATTCGGTGACTGTGATATTAGAAATGAAAATTGGTATTTAAATGTAATCGAGTCCTTTTTGAAGGAAGCGATCGAGAAACGTGCTATACGGAGTACACACGAGGAGAATGATTTAATCTAGGTGCAACTTTATAGTAGGTTCAAAGGAAAACTATACATCAAAATGAAATGGGTTTTCTTTTATTCAAAAGGAACACATTTCCACCGCAGCTATGCAAAAGGTAAAAGGAACCAGCTCATTAATAATGGAGGTATGACGTCGTGTGTGAAATGTGGCTTCTTGCTATGAACGTTCCCTCCTCTTGGTCGATATTTTCAAAAATATCTGCTCGATCTTTGACGCCAAACGTTGTCAATTTTAAAAATTTAATCATCCGTTATTATTCGTTGAAACACCAATTGCAGCAACCACCGCGGTTCAAACGTTCGCGGAATAAAAAATGGAGACGAAACGTGTAAGACGATCGCGTATTAATGTCAATTAGGCTAGTAAGTCGAGTTGCAGTTGATCGAGCGACAACGTGAACGCAAAAACGCAGCTCTCGGTTTTCCATTGGCCGTGACGGAACAGAAAAATACGCGTCGCGACGCACGTGCGTCGTCGATGGCCACCTACGTCGTGATTACGATCGTAAACCGTAAAATCATTCACAATATACGCAAGACTCCGAAATTATGCGATTAAATTCGCTACGAAGCTATCCGCGCGAGTCGAATCGTACAATACGATGTATTGCATGAAAATCGAAAAATCGAGCGTCGAAAAATGTTTACACTGTTCGTACAATACAGTTGTAAACAGATTGTAGGCCAGACTATTGCTTTGAGACCATAACTGATACATATTGATAGGATTAAGTCAGACTTCAAAAATAGAGATAATGGGTATGACGTCAGAGTCACGCGGGGTTACGGACGGTTAATATCTAAATACGCATATACGAAAGTACGTGTGAGTACACACGAGATCGCGTAAAAGAGGTTTGATTCTATTGCAATAGGTACGAAAATGAAATATTCAAACGTCGTGTAAATGAAACAGACTCGAACCACGATTTCGAAAATCGCCGTTCGGAAACCGTGTACACGTCCCGAGCGACCTATCGAGGACGAAAGAAAAAGGCCCGCTTTATTGTGTGCGAAACCCAATCCACCGGTACCCCACCGCTGCAAAGAAAGGGGGACTTTGGAGCAAGGGGCCCGGTTCGTGCCGGGAAAGCCCTGTTCCCTTCGCTCGAAGGTCTACCTGGGCTCCGTAAACGCATGCTAAGGCTATACCTGCTCCGATTCGTGGCTACTAAACGCACAGGAAAGCGAACGATAATTTTGCTGCTCTTCCCACGACTTACGCGTTACATATTTTTCTTGGTATATAACAAATAAACTATTTATGCATTTCTGTACTATTAAAATTTGTATCTCATGTACAATTTTATATACGATTAAAGTTGTCAACTTACTAAACTTACTAAAAGTTTATTTTCTTACACAATATAAAACTGTTTTCAATATTTTTTAAAATTTTTATTTTGTGTACTATTTTATACATGACTTATGTTGTCAAAGAAAGAAAAATGTATAAGCGAATGTATTCATGTAATCCACGCGTGTAACTTGGTCGGTGTTAAAAGCAATAATAAACACCGGTAGAAAAGAAAATATTCCAGTAATGCTTCCGACGTCTCGGTTTTGTGTAAGAAATATTGTTTACTTTGCGGAGCAATGTGACAGTACATAAGAAACTCCTTTATTTATTCAAAACTGTCTACGTTCTACTGGACAGGATTCGTACACGCATAATCAAAGAATAAAGTTATTTGTCTTTTTAAAATATATCCCGAGTTACGTACACGGTATTGAACACGACTGTTGCGTTTATAACGAGAACAGGAAATAGTTTGCAACGTGACGACGTTAAGGATAATGAAACGTATCGATTTAACTCGTTGAGGAGGGAGGGGGGGGGGGGCCATTCGTGTTATATTGTTTGAAAAGTTAATAGAATATTACGGAGCAACGTATTTACTTTCACTTGGAAATGCCTGCTGTCCGTGTCTCTCGCCGAGCATCCTAACCTCTCTTTCGCGGAAGCGTTGCTTAATGCGGTAAATAAGTCGACGTAGTCCGCGCAATGTGTATTTTGCTAGCATCGAGATGACCGAGACGATTCTCTTGTGCCTGCGATTACTCTAAAACGATCGTCCAATAGACCGACTCTTTCTTTGCACAACGTTTCTCTGCCTCTCGCTCGCAGTCCCCGGCGGAGCGAACATAACCTCTACTCGGTTTCCGACCAGCGAGGTGCTAGCGAGAGGCTACGATTCGGGTTTTTCTAACCTATTTCGGAACACGACGCGAACGACTAATGAGATTTCAGTAACGTACGATACGAGGAACGCGTTTGCCTCGGACACAAACAAGAAAATAAAGATATTTCGAAAGCAAACTACTGTGCGAGCGTCTACTGTTTCGTGCGCGTCTTTCCATCGTTGCGACGAGGATCGATCGAAAGTCTGAATCGCGTTACTCGAATCTCGAATAAGCACAATTGAATCGTTCGGTACAGGTTGAAAATAGAAAGTAAGCATGGTCCGTACGCCTGGCGCCTCATATCGAACCGACGCCTTCGAACGTTTCCAGCAAAAGAGAGGGTAAGCGAGAGAGCGAGAGAGCGAGAGAAACAGACGGACGCCTCCCTCTCTCTGGCCTGCCGCCTAGTCTCGGTGAACGCACGGAATTCATGAAAAATGAAACAGTCACTTACGGGGTAGTACATCCCTTGCGGAGGAAGAAAAAACGCCCCAGAGCCCCACAGTTTGAGGCCGTTTTGCTCCACCGTTGTGCGAGAAAACAAATCCAGCACTCCGTACCTCCTCCCCCTCCTCGCCCGCCACTCCTCCACCTCCTTCGCCTCCTCCTTCTAGCTGTTGTCCCTTCTCTTTCTCGGTTTCGTGCACTGTACGCGACGTACCCGGCGCGCTTCTCTCTTTCCGTCGCACGTATATTTGTATACTAGAAACCGTATGTGTGACTCACAAGTGTAACGAGAGAGAGACCCGTGCGGTGTTTTTCACGCACACACGGACACACGCGAACGCGCGCGCCGATCCACACGCACTGGACGAACCGAGACGACGCACGACAATCGAACGGTACGAGGTTAAAACTCTTTTTCAACGCGCACACGATCGAGCGGGACCCGCGTACTCGGCGACCACGAACGCCCCACGAACGGCTCTACGTCTTTCTATTTCCCCCTTCGTCCGTCTCCGTCTCACCCTCGCTCGATCTGTCTGTCTTTCTTTATCTCCTTCGTTCTATTACACGGTGTCTCGCTCTTGCGACAACTCACGACCGCCACCGTGCGTGGTCCCTCTGCGACTGACGGTCCCGCTCCTAGCCGGCGCCATCGGCGCGCAGCGCCACTGCGCATCCAGCGCCGCGCATCGGCCATCATTTGCACTACGGGAATCAAACTCGATCGAGATGCACACGAAATGCCTTTCGCTTTGATCGGCTTCTACCGTTGAACGCGAAATTTATGGAAATATAAAACGTTTCATTTATCGCGAACGTTCGTTACATTTACTGCCCGGCAACCGGCCGATGCTGCTCGTTGTTCGTTGCAATATGATATAAGATTTATGCCAGCGGTTCGCTTTTCATCATCATTTTATTCCTACACAATTTACATTCGCTGCTTTGCGCATCGAAAAATGCAGTCGTTGAATAGAAATTATATCAATTTACGTTTATATAATTGTTTTCCACTTCTGACTACCGTTTCGATATTATTTCTACTTTCATGGTTATTGCCGTAACTTTATTGCACTACTCGCTACCGTGCACAACGACAAAATACAAATATTATTCAAAGTCTTTATCGTAAAATTACATTTGAATTGGAAAAAAAGTATTCGTTGTATTCGTGTACCGGAAGGAAAATTATATTAAATTTATTGAAACAAGGGAAATCTTGTCCAGCCATTCTGAGAAATAATTAATAAAAGTCACTTTACGGTGCAGAATGCGACTAAACGTTTTCTTGGAAACAAAATGTAATAAATGTTTCGCGAAGAGGTTGCTAAAGTTGAATGATAAAAGAAAAAAGGAAAGTTGTAAATATAGCAAAGGAAGATTTTAAAACTTCTTGGAAACCATCGGTAAAGCTGAAAGATGAATGCAATGCAGAATTGTATACTCATAATACTTCAAAGAATACTTAAACGCGCTCTTCGATTTTTTTAATTAATCAAGGCAAAAGATTAAAACGTACTATTAATTAGGTGCAAAAATGTATTGAATTCTATCACTCCCTTTTTTTCTCGGATGAATGCATATCTGAGTAATGGTACGATTATATTTTATTATTTAAATTGTATTAATAACGACCACTGTTTGTTGTCCAAATAACCAATGAATCATTTGACAATATAATTACACAATTATTCGAGCCATTGGACTTGAAAGGACCAAAAAAGTTGAACATTAATAAAATTAAATTCTGCTTGTACGAATACAGTGTCGAATTAATTAATTAAATACCTCAAAGTGTATCTTTTGGACTTGTAATTCTACGACAAAACTTTTCACTGTGTAGATACTTCTGTTCGTTTGTAACGATTAAGAATCGTTCGTGAATATTTTCTATTTTCATAGCGGCGCATGACTGTTTCCATCGCGATTAGCGTTCCATTGCCTTTTCTGTCCGTGCTTGCGAAATGCCAGAACCTCACGCGCAGGCTGCAGATGTTTCAAGCTCTGCATCTTGTCTTGAGCAGAAATAAACGTATTGTTCCCGTGATTCATAATCCGCGTGAAAGTACCCTCGACATAAATTAACAGTCAACGACATCTTCGAAACTTCTTTGCTCGTTAATATCACGCTGCTACTAAAACATTCAGCGTAACGTAATGTTGTTTACGCGAAACAAGGAAAAACCAACTTTTCTTATTCCTTCGTAACAGACGTTACTATAAAAATATAATCGCGATAGGTTGAAAGAAATACGACTGGTTTCCGTATGAATGAAAAAATAGAGTAAACAGCGTAGTATTATGTGAATACGCGTGGTTCAAACCTCATTATTCAAGATACAATTCATTGAAGAAAACGTCTGCATGCCACACATTCAATGCATGTCTGTCAGTTCGACGCGTTTAACCGCTTACTCATTTTGTCACTTCGGATGGACGTAAATCACTTGCATAATGCTAAACACTTAGCGTGTTGGTACGTATCGGTTAAAGTCAGCGAATCTATCTTGGAATTTAATTGGTCGCAATGCGTAAAGCATAATCTAGATACGCTATAGAAGCACGGTATAAATGGGATATTTGAATATTCGAAACCGCAAGAATTTACATGTGGACATTTTGTTAAAATATGTAGGCGAACGTGCTCCTGAAATATTGTATAATATTCTTCCTTCTCTCGTACCGCGGATTTATTCCCCAAAGCGTCGACCCGTAATTACGAGTCGCGGAGAAAAATTTATACAATTTTCATCGTCCAGCGTTCCAGCGACGGTGGAATCGAAATTGTATTATTTTCGTTTCTGTTCGTTTTTTAAAGTGCATCTAACGCGTCTACGATGGTGCGCCGCGAAAATTAACCAGAGGCCCACGGCCCAATCGAGTTCCAGCGCAGGCGGCGCGTATAATATCGAAGCTTCGTTATTACGCCCGTGGCGCGCCGTTATTACGCATATATTACCGTGCACCAGAGAGATACAAGGAAATGAAACGATTATCGAAGTGTACTGAACGGATTTCGATTCCGGGGAAAGCCCGACGCTACATAAGATTACCCAGAACTCGCGAAATTACCAGTTACGCGGGTCAATTTATCGTTTCCCAGCAACACGATATAAGAATCACGAGCATTTCTGCGTTAAAATTAATTTCAGAAAAATCATGGAACAGGTTATGTTCGAATAACAGACCCACCCTTGTAGCGGAGTATTCTGGTAACAAAGGTACGGATAAAGAATGTTCTACCACATTCTGGAGGACATAATCGATAAGAAACGTGACGACACGTTCGTCGTATTTCAGTTTTTAGATTTCGGGTTAAGTTGTTTCCGATCGAAGCGTATCAATCGTAAAAATAAAAATGTCGACATCAATGATACCGTCTTCTCTTTTTAATCTTGAATAACGATTGATTATTTAGAGGGACAGAACACGGTGGAAAGTTGTTGAGAATAGATATATTTTGAATTATTATATTTCTCAATTGCGATTTTTCTCTCCTCAACGTCGGCCCAGGCCGGGTCATAAAAACCATGGGTCTCTGCTGACCATTCGGCCGACGCCTATATAACCTGGCTTTTCTCCATTTGGAGTCAGTTGTGCGACAACTCTGATCGCAGAGAAAGTTCTTCACTTAGTTTTTCGTCTGCGTGTCTTGTTCTATACTTTTTACATTTTTTCAATAAACTATTCATTTCTTCTGTATGTAAGCGATTGAGTTCCGTCTTTCGTAACGACAGATCCTCAATAAAAGTATTTCGAGTATTTCTATTCTTATTGGAGGGAGTATAAGCGAACCGGTCCCCGTTAATCGATGCTCCGATAACCAAATATTCCGTTAAACGGTGTTTGGGTAATTAAGTGTACGGATAATCGGTGTTCCAATAATCGAACTTTTACCGTACGTAGAAACAGAATATTAGCACGGGTGGGAGGGGGCTTGATTAAACAACAATGGCCTAAGGGCACCATGTGAGCTCCAGCCAGTTGATATCGATTCTATAACGCTGTTATAAAATCTTACCCTCGTTGCACGCGTACAACGACGCTGTTTAAATGCTTTTTCGCAGAAACCGCGCGTTTTTCCGGCTGTAACCTTTGATTTACTGGCGAAGGCGTCGGGCAGCACGCGTCGCGACGCGAGACGTTCACGCGGATGCACCGACGAAACTTTCACCGTTTCCAACGACGCGATTTCTTTCTCTATCGTTACGCAATCTCGTGTATGGAACGATCGAAACGCAGATAATCACAGAACGAAGATAGAAGATCGAAGATGCTTCGTTACGACATCCGCCTACGTTGGACCCTCGTTGCGTGAGGGTAGCAAACTTCCGGGGCAAAGTATCCGGTGACAACGAAATCCCGACAATTTATATCCCTGGAATCCAGTCCGAACGAGAAACGAAAAACTTGAAACAGAGGAGACCGCAAGATCTATGCCCGAGGGTGCGGGAATCATTTTTTTAAATTACTATCTCCGTTGCAGGATATTGTATTGACACTTAAACGGAGCAAAAAGCAATTTCGGAATTTTGTTTTAAATTTTGTAAACTTATATAAAATACCCCTGTCGATGGATCGTATTTTCTATAGCCTATTTACAGTGAGAACCAGCAATCACAAGTTTTGTATAAATCATTTTGTATGAAACATAGTTATTTTCATCACAGTTAGAAGTAACATAAGAAATTTTTTTAGCAGTGAATGTCTTCTCGTTTGCACTAGTTTTGCACCAGTTCGTAACAACAATGTTTACATGGAATGTCTTAGCAATAAGTTTGCATCTAGCAGTTTCAAACGAATGCAATATGCTACTCATCGAAGACATTAATTACTGAAAAAGTTTTTTATGTTACTCTTAACTGTCATAAAGATAACTATAATGTTTGTTTTTTAATATGCTCCTATATTCTTAGCAAAACTTGTGATTATTGCTTCAGTTATGCTCTTTACTATATATATTCTGCGCACTCGAGTTTCGTTCTATTTTCATATTTTCTTTATTACCGAATGGCAGCGATCGCTGGGGCTTCATTGAGCCTCGCAAACGTTAAATTCATCCGTGTGTCTCCCCCTGGATCGTTTCGAGTCGACTCAAGTGAATCGACGTCGTGGCGAGGTCATGAGAACCGTAGGGGGTCAAGAGGTTAGCGTTTCGATATCAAGAATCGAGTCGTAGTTTTTGGAGTACGTTCTCTCCTTTGGGGGGAAAAAATAAAAATTAGGGAACCTGCGTATTTTCGAGAAATTAACGCGCGTTGTTACCGAACAAAATGTCGCCCGATGTTAAGCTTCGATTCGCCTCGACGTGTACGGTCCAGCCAGCAGAGGCGACCATAAATTTACCCTCGTCGCCTCGCCACTTCCTTTTCGCGTATATTTACGTAGCTTCCGAGCATCGACTCCTGCCTCCCTCCGTTCGAAGGCGACTTTAATCGACTCGAAACATCGACGTTCGCGCTCGAGTACAAGGCTTAGCATTATCGAGGCGAACGGACACCCCCGATGGTTAGTCTTTCCGGCGTTTCCGCGAAATCTCGTTACCATCGTCACGGCGATCCGTGTTTTGCGGCCCGGGGTACTGTCAAAGGAGCGACTCGGGGCTAAAAACCGTCCGACGACGCTTTTTGCCGTCCGTTTTCGAACACAATCGCCCTTTGAACTCGGCTCCCGGGGTCCGAGTCGCTGGGCGTTAAC